TGTAATTACTTGTTATCCTCTGCAGTAAATCATCTACGTGATTATATGATGATTAAAAATTTGATAGAGTATCTTTTCCTAATAGTACGGTAGTATTATTATTATTTTTTTGTTTGCACAAATACAAACATGATTACCACATTATCATCAGTTTCCATAATTGCAGGTTGTGGACAGTAAGGCTATTAGTTACGCCTTCCAGCGCTTAGCAGCATCCAACCCCACCCTTACATACACGGAAAAACTACTTTGGAGGCTGGAATATAAAGAGGCATCAATGAGTTTCCAACTTCCTTCTACTCAAATCCCCTTTAACTACCCTGGGGGTCATGCTAAACCCAGCCCCAGTTTATATAAATAGTTTGGGTTATAGCTCCAAACTTCATCCCAATCTTGTTGACTGTATCAAATGTTCTCCCTCTGCTTCACTCAAAACAAACAGGTAAACAACTAAAAAGTTGAAATCCCCTTTTTTTTGTAGCAGAAGTCTTGACCTTGCTGGTACATGGGTATCCAATTGGGGTGAAAAAAACAGAGAAGAAATTAATGGAGGAGAATATATCTTTTTAGACCTTAAGATATAGGACACATATTACTGCTGTCCTCCTAGTTCTATGGAGGGAATAAACGTCCTTTTCAGGAGAAGACTATTACATTTCTTTTCCCTCCAAAAATAACATAAGAATACACGTGGTAGAATTGCCTGTGACATACGATGTTTTACATTCCTCATACTCTGATATCTGTTTCATGAATCACACACATGCAATTAAACCATAATTTGGTTGATGATGCGAACCTCTTTTAATTTCCTCCTTATCAAGCTCTGCAAAACTGCAATCCCCTTCACTGGCATGATCAGAGACAAAGTTTAAGAAGGCAAATTAAGAATCTGGCTTAATAAAACCCGATTTCCATATATCAAACATAAGATTATTTACATGGAAGAGGGTTATATCCGAATGGATAGAACTAGTGAAACATATATGTACAGGTAAGGAGGAATATTAGGAATATCACTCAGGTGAAGAAGCCATTTGTGAGTGTGACTGATCCACCAGTATTGACCACAGAACCTGCACGTCCTCGCATGGACAGGACTTCACATCCTTGTACAATATGTAAATCCCTTTACCTGAAATATGTAAACAGAAGAAATTTGATTGCATTTTGGAGAGTAAAAATACTGAAAAAGTAATAAACCAGGAAAGAAAGAAGAGGAGATTACGCCTTTTGTGTCTGCGGTGAAGACGATCCCATAGCCTCTTCAATGGGGAGAGGAGGATGGAGCGAAGCCGCCATCCCATTTGGAGAAAAGGGTAATCAACAGGTCGTGGTAGGTAAAGGGTTGGAAGGAAATTATAAGAGGGCAAGAACCAAGGGGATGGTTGATCAAAATGTGTGAGATTGCTTAGAAAGGGGTGTCTTCCATGTTACTGTTCCCCCCAATTTCTTTCCTATTCTGTTCTCTGTGGAGAGCACAATCATTCAAACTAAACGCCATCTGGGTGCTGTGTCCTTTTCACTCTAATTTTTTCCATTGTCCAATTGAGTTTAACCCCAAAACTGCACAAAAAAAACCCTCTCCTCCTCGGTCATACTTTCACACTTCAAATTAGTTTTCTTTGCTTCTGTCTCAAGCCAGAGTTTCTTTCAATTTTATGTACCTCATACCAAGTACGGAATTTCTACTGAAATGTCACACACCCTTTTGTTCCTTGTCCTGCAAGGATAAGGTTTTAGTATTGCAAGGAAAATGTAAAGTCAAGTAGCTTCAGCGTGAAGGTTTTTGGGATATGTGCCTTTGTTTCCAATAAATGGACATGACTTGAAGCGTATTGGATTCATCAAGGTCAAAATCTTAGCTTACCGTCACTTAAGCACTTCAGGTTCGGTTACTGATAGCCACGGCTTTCATTTTCAGCAATTTCGGTTCAATCAGGATGCTAGTAAACATGAGTAAAAATTAATTTGCTCCTGAGATGCAGACAATACCTTGTTTGCTGCCGTTCATACATCAATGCATATGTATTAAAATTATTGGAGTTTTTTTTTTTTTTTGAAGTGAATAATATCTCATATCTGTGATCAAAATAATATAAATACTTGATCTAGAAATCACATTAAGAAAGTAATGAAAGAAGAAACTTATTAAGTAAAACGCATTAATGACCTGAAGTAAGGTATGGCATAAGCCAATGGTCTTGTCTTGTGAAATGGTTGGTTGACAAATCAAATTGTGAATCAGGCCAATTTTTCTAACATTCGTAGCATATGCTTCCAAATCAAGATTGATTCCCTTGAAAAGTAAGTTTCATCTAATTCTTATTTGCATTACATAAATCCACTCATTACCCATTTCAAGGCTCAAAAAACTCTCTCTAACATTGGAAGGTGAGATTCTTAATCATTGAAACACCTACAAAGTAACACTCTTAGGGTCGTATGGGCTTGCATTAGTATTAATTTGTACTGGGCCAGATTGGATTCCCTCTCAATCGGCCCATTTTTATCATAGCAGAGAGGAAGGGCCCATTATATGAAGAATTGGGCTTGGGCGGTTAGCCACAGCCATAGGCCCATATAGCAACCCAAATTGGGAATTTGGGAGATTTTAAGCGATGTAGGTGGAAAAATTGAAGCCTCTCTGTAATCCGCGTCTTTCCGATGGTGCGGCCTTCATCCATTGTCGAGATACCGGATAGACGACGGCGTTACTCTGACCGCGAAAACGGTCGCTACAACTCCGAATCCGATGATTCTGCCGACTACCGCCGCCGTCGCAGCCCGACATACGATAGTTACGATCGAGATAACCGTCGCCGTGATGCAGATCAGCGCCGCCAACGCTACCGTTCTGATTCACCCGAAGACCGAAGCCCTAGAAGGCGAAGTCCCGTCCCTAACCGAACCCTAAGTTCCCTGCCCAAGAAATTTGGCAGGAAAGGTAGCTACCTGGACCGTGATTATCGGAATGGAAAACATTCGGATTCCGAATCTGATGAGGAGTTGAAGGGATTGAGCGTTGAGGAGCGAAGGAGGCTGAAGAGGCAGAAGATGAGGAAGGCCATGAAGTTCTGTATTTGGGAGAATACGCCGAGTCCACCGAGGAACGACGAAGATGATTTTGAGTATAAAGCTGATGAAATTTCTGAGAATTACGGGGAGGAGAATGGCGAGGAGAAGAGCGATTCAGATGTGAAGGTCAAAGGAAAGGAGGAGAAGAGTGATAGGAAGGCAAAATCTGAGTCAGATTCTGGGAAAAGCGAGTCAGAAAGTGAGCCCGAGTCGAAATCTGAATCTGAGACGGATGATTCGAGGTCAAGGAGGAGGAGGAAGAGTTCAAGCTCTAAGCGCAGAAGTAGGAAATCCTCGTCCCATGCTAATAGCGAAACCGAGGAAAGTGAAAGTGAATCAGATGATGAAGAGGATCGAAGGCGTAGAAGGAAGTCAAGGAAGAGGCAGAGTGGACGTAGCAGGAGCACCAAGAAAAGTAGTAGTAGAAGTAAAAGCAGCCGGAGGAAGGGAAGCTATAGTGATTCTGATGCGAGTGAAAGTGCAGAAAGTGGAACTGAGGAATCTGATGCAAGTCAATCTTCTGATGATCGCGTGAAGTCAAAGAAGAGGAGACGCTCTTCAAGTTCAAGGTCCAAACGTAGCAAGAGAAAGAGACAGTCTGAAACAAAGAGTGAGAGTTCGGATGGGGCGTCGGATTCTGAAACTGATGCAAAGATTAAGGCAAATGAGGATGAAGATAAGCAGGCTGAGATCAATGCAGAGGTGCTTATGTTTAAAGAAATGATTGAGGCTCAGAAGAAACCCGCATTGGATAATGAACCATCAGTTGGTCCAATGCCATTGCCGAGAGCTGAGGGGCATATCAGTTATGGTGGTGCCTTGAGGCCTGGTGAAGGTGATGCTATTGCACAGTACGTTCAGCAAGGTAAGCGTATCCCACGAAGAGGTGAAGTGGGTCTTTCAGCAGAGGAGATTCAGAAGTTTGAGAACCTTGGGTATGTGATGAGTGGTAGTAGGCATCAGAGAATGAATGCCATTCGTATTAGGAAAGAAAACCAGGTTTACAGTGCTGAGGATAAGAGGGCGTTGGCCATGTTCAACTATGAAGAGAAAGCAAAACGTGAGCACAAGGTTATGGCTGATTTGCAGCGGCTGGTGCAGCGCCATATTGGCCAGGATGTTGGTCCTACTCATGATCCTTTTGGTGCTAAAGATGCTGCTGATATTTGATTCTCCTGTATGTTCTATATTGTTTAAGTTATTGCCTTCTTTTTCAGTTTTCCAGTATGTTTTTTAAGCTCTGTTGGTCAGTCATGAATCAACAGAATATCTGTAATAGAATGGCTTTTTAACTTGATGGTAATGATTCCAAATTAGAGAATATTGAGCTTGTTGCATATTATTTCTGGCAGTGGTTGCTATGCTTAATTTTGATTGTTGCTGCAATGTGCAAAGGAGCGTAAGAGAGAACAAAAGTTTTGTATTCTTTTTTCAAAATAAACATCTGCTGGCAAGGTTTGTTTGTTATCTGGGAATGACAGACTGAATTAACTCAGTCGGTATAGTGTGATGATTAGTTGTCATATACAATTTGGGAATCTAAGTTTTAGCTAGTGCATGCTGTTTGTTTCTTAAATTGTTCTGGAATCTGGATAGAATCATGAAAATTCTTTCAAGGTTATTATTAATAATTGCAATTTGGATTTCTTTGAAACCAAGTAGTTTAGATAGAAATTATAGAATCAACATTTCAATATTAATCTTGGTGCTTGGGATTTTTCCCTGTGGTGATGAACAAATTTGAAAAGTGACTGAGACTGTGTAGTGCTGTTATTATCAAATTAGGAAATTTGTTCCCACAAGACCATGATATGTTTTTGATGTGTTTGGCTTTTCCAGAGTTATAGCTTGTCTCTGTCTCTGGCTTTTCAAAAGACTTATTTCTGGTCCTGTATCATATAGGAGAAGAAAAGAGACCAGCAATACACTTTTCTTTCCCCCCATTTTTTTGGGCTTGGGTGGAAGAGGGGGGGGGGGGGTAGGGACAGATGTGTTGGGTTGGGAGGAGAAGAGGAAGGTTAGAACTGTTGCAGACCAATTGGATTATGAAAAGAAAGGTGTATGCATTTGGCGTATGTTTGCAGACCTATGTGTCATATGTTCCCTTTAATCTTGTTCATACAGAACTGTTACGTAGGAGTTTTTGGTTATGCTGAGTCCATAATGGGAACGGTATTATTGAATCTTGAGGTAGAAACCAAGTTCCATATATCTGGTGCATGATTTGAATTGAAAATAAGGTTTATGCATATAATGCAAGATGGGAAGCAATAATATTATTTCTGAGACTAATTGCGCATATTGTCAAATCAATTGAAGTCATTTTTGATAACAAAAACATCGTTGCTCATTGGAACTTAAGATGATTTTATACAGAAGAAAAATTTTGTAGTCTTTTGTTTCCATTCTGTAAGAAGTCTCTCCTGTCAAATCAATAATTGGCCTGCAAGATAAATTAAATTTAATCTCTTTTTTTTAGTTGTGTTGATGTGGAAAGGGATATAAGAAACTGTGATGAGTTGGTGAGCAATGGAATTGAACTTCAGTGCACAATATTCCTCCCATGCCTGCCATAGAGTTTGTGGATGGATTGTTATTGGACCTTTTGATCACGGAGAATATTTGAGCTAGTTTGCACAGAATTAACTGTCAATCAGTCTTAAAGTTTAGATTTTTCATGCTTTTTTTCAGTTGGTAGATTTTAGGTTGTGGGAAATTGTGCATGACCTAAAATTCCCTTTTTTCTTATTTATTTTACATTTTTCAGTCTGTTACTTCTGTGCTTTTCTTTGCTGAACTTTTAGCTCGTCTTTGATTTATTATAATTTTTCATCTGATGAATTGTGCCTTGTGAACAGGACAGCAGTATAAGATTAGCTTTTGCTATTTTATAAACCTACAATACAAGCTTACCCTGATAAGTTATCCATCATGGCTTAATTTAGTTGAGTCAAGGTTTATGCAATGCATATACATTGTTCTCTGGAGTTTGAAGTTGAGGCCCTTAATAATGCATATCTTTCTTGGTGAATAGGTCTTAGGAGCTAAAAACTGCGTTTTGTTAGATGAACTTTCCCTGCATTTCTTAAACATCAATGAAGCATACTGAGTGGATAGAGGAATCTCCATGCTGGACAATGGAGGGAGTGAAATTAATGCAATTGAGTAAAGGTTTGATAAGTTTTCCCTTGGAATTTTCCTCAAGTTTAAGAAATTCAGTTTTGTTCTCAATCAGTTGCTGGGCCTTGTCCATATAATTTTTTTTCTTAAAAAAAAAAAAAAATTCTTTTCAACCGTTTCAAGGTGGGGAATTAAAATTTGGAACCACAACTCTTGATTTTTAGTCTACTGACTAGTTCAATTCATCCAGTAATGCCTGTCCAAGAGGGTGATCATTAAGTTTGATTTGCCTTTTCTAGCTATGTTAGCATTGGAAGATTCAAGGGTTTAGGCCTACCCCACTTTTATCTGATGCATATTCTGGTCTAATTGCAAATTTGCCAATTGTTTTCTGTTATTCTAATTGCATCTGCCGCAGGGAAAATCCTTGTGACAAGGGTCAGGTGCCATTCTGATAATAGAAGTCCAAGGTTTCCTTCATGTTTTTCTTCTAACAAGGAGTTCTTTGGTGCAGGATGGCAGGATCTCTATTGCTACAATGGCGAACACATGTTTCAGGATGGTAAGACCTTCAAAACTAGCATTGATTATTTTCTTTCCATTAATGCACTTGGTGGTTAGGGGTTTGATAGAACCATATGTAGCACATTAACTACTTGCACAAAGGGAGACAAAATATAGTTCATCAAACCTCATTGATTTCAAATGTTAATGATGGCAGGTAACAGATAAACTACTTTTTGGAGGAGAGTTTCAGCATGCTGATGATGCTGTTAAGAAGAAACCAACTTGGACATCGTGCTGTTGATGCTGGCTGAAGCTGAGATAATGGCTTGAGTAAGGAAGAGATATGATTTGATTTGTGGGAATTGGGACTTGAGAGGCAGGGAGGGACCAGAAACTGAATGAATAGAGGTAAAGTTTAGTTAACATGATTTGATCAAGGATTGGATTCAAAATGCCTCTAGGATTTTGAAAAAGATGAATACTTTTAATGTGTTCTCTGATCTCTGCTAGCACCACACTTTTCTGCATTTGGAAAATATGAATGCTATGTATGTCTTTGATTCATGAAAAATAAAACTTATCCCTAACCAAATATTCCACAGGAGATAAAGGCAGTGTTCATACATTCTGTAGTTTTCTTCCTGTTCTCTATGACCCTTCTTTTGCTACATTTTTTGACCTAATCACAGTTGCTTGAGAAATCATCTTAAGATTAAGATGCTTATCTTAGAGCTATAATTATTGTTATAAATAAATTTTTTTAGCAATTTGAGCAAGCCCATGTCGTGATCTTCCAGTTTCCACCCTAAAATTGCAGAGCATCCTTTAATCCTTGAATAAAAGTGACACCAACTTTGTCCTGGACCACTATATGAGGTCGGGACATCAACCTAACACTTCTGATAAGTTTTTGTTTTTGGTTTAGATGCACTCTACCCCAACTCTCTGCCAAAGTTATTATGTGGCCGAAAAGGACCAAATATGCATTAGCTTCAATAATTGGGATTAGTTATTTCTCAAACATCATATTCATTGCGAGTCTCCTCTCATCCTCATTTTAAGGTGCATTTCTCACATCCTAAAGGTGTTCAAATCTCCCTTAGCAGAACTTTCAAAAACATCAAAAAATATAGATCATCTTCATCATCTGGGGTGTCTTGGACAGATTCTTTGTTACAACAGCTGAAATTAAATCCAATAATTTTGGTTTGCTAAACGCTTAGATGGACGTAACGGGCTCCTCGCATACAACAAGACTCAAGAAGTTCAATGCATATCAGTGTCACAGAGTGGGTCAACAAGAAACTCACATGGCAACCCATTCATGATAGATGTTACGTAAGAGAGCACAGGTGGGTCACTTTGGGGTTTTCAGCACATGGGATTGGTTGGGGGACTCAAGAATCAAGATAGAAGGGTGAGTCGGTGCAAAATATAAATTGAAAAGGGCATTTGTTTTTCGTTTTTTTTTTTTTTAAACCTTTGATGCTTGGTTGAATGCAAGCTTTCTGTCCATAATTGAAGTTGTTAATTTTTGAGATGTCAAAAGTTCAGGGTGAAGTGAGGTTACCTAGTAGTGCAAGGCCTCAATAGGGGTGTGGTTATGGCCACCAAATGATATTGTTAAGCCACCAAAACAGTATTGAAAAAATACTAATTTTGTTTTATTTTATTATTAAGAATAGTTAATAACTGATAAAACAATTGATATTTATTACTTAATAAATTAAATTCTATATATAAATTGATATTTTCAAATATCATAATCATTTATTTATGAAATAAACTACTAATATAAGTCAAATTATTTACAAATTTGGTGGCCTAAACAATTCTATTGGTGGCCATAACTACACCCCTCAGCATACGGTCAGCCTTACCGAAGATTTACAGTAGAACTTAAAGATTGCCTGTCCACAAAAGATGGCTGGCAGTGGTACTCAAACCTAAGAATGCACAATTAGAAAGATCAATTTCACGAGCGAAGCTACCCCCTTGGACATAATAATTGCAGTTGTTAAGAGAAATAATGAAACGTTATAATAGTTACTCGTTTCTTGAATTAGGTAAAAAATAAAATAAAATAAAATAAAACCCAACACAAATGGAACAAAGAGAGTTGCTTGTTTTCCATTGCTGTAACTCCATTTCCTGGCACAATTACAGGCATGCTATCAATGGAAGAGAGATGTTATATAAATGTTGATTAATCTTAACTGGTACTCAAGATAAAATAATTTCCATAATTAGAAATTTTGATTATTGCATGTCCATATGAATTTGTCTGGTCAATAAGACAGAGATTCTCATTTCTTGTGCTCTAGGTAGAAGGTAGACATCATCCTAATTCCCAAGTACATATATTTACTGTTTGCATTCTCTCTGTTTCTTAGCAGACCCACATTTAGCTTGGTCCTGCCCTGTTTGAAAGCTAAGTTAGCCCAATATGTCTACCAAATTAGATTGGCATTCATGGCTTTTAAAGCTCCTCAGTCCTTCCCCCCTTTTTTAACCTTTTGATTCCATATATGTTGTTTTCACAGATTCAGACCTATTTGTCCCTTCATGGTATTTTGTCTCAAGACAGGCGTAGACAGAAAAGTTGTAAGATCAATTCTAAGCCCTCTTTACTATTATAGTGTCTGAGAATTCCATTGAACATCTTGTTATTTCTTTTAGCATCACCCCAATTCCCCACCACATAGTTCACGAGGTTGGATGTCTGTTTTGGTGAGGGTAGTTAACATTGGGTGTTTGATTGACACGCACATCAGGTGTTTGATGAATGGCCAAGCTGATGATGTTTTCGTCCTTAAAAATGCAAAAACAGGGGAAGCACCAAATGGCGGTACCTAATCTAAGGGATGGTTTAAGTTAGTGGAATGATGTAGGCCCATCCTCCATCATGATAGCATCAAGATAAACGAATCAGTTGTTGCTTTTGGTGGAGGCACCTATTCACCTGATTAAATCTTTCATTAGTTAAAGTTAATAAAAAAAGATTGTCGGTTCTTAGTAGATTATTTCATGGTTTATGTGGGTTAGTTTAATCATTTGGTCATGTTTAATCAAGTTTTGATCGATCCGAGCATTAGATTTTGCATGTGACTCACCGCACCTTCCTCGGTAAGAAACAATGTACATCTTAATTAACTAACGTCTTGGTAGTAAATGTACAAATTGAAAATGTCAATTGTTCTTGAATTAAGTCATCCAATGTATCATCATTATATGATTAAAATATCAAGTTTAATTACTCATATATTTTATTTATTAGGGATTGAGAAAAAATAAAAAAATTCTGGAAAGAATGATAATGAAAAGATTTAAAATACTTTTGATGAATTAATATGTAAATTTATTAATATTATTTGAACAATTTTATAAATAATTATGACATTTTAAATACCAAAACGCCATGATTTTTACCTTTTTCTTATCTACTATGAGGGTGTTTGGTTTGAGGGTTTATAAACAACTATCAACTACTAATTTTAATCAAATAGATTAAATATTTTGAATTATAAATAATAACAATTATGATTGTTAGATTTTAATTATCAATTATCAGTTACATCTAATCATTTTATCCAAACATCCCTTATAAGCTATTACTTATAGTTTTTAATTTTTGGCCGGCTACTTTAAATTATTGGTTCATGAGAGAATTTGGTTTAGAATCCTTAACATTTCCTATAATTGTCGAATAGACAGACATGTTTCATTTGCTCAAATTTCATAGACATTCTTTAATCCCAAATAACAACACAGTACTGCCATCTTCAAACTATTGATGAGCTGATTTTCAGAAAGAAACCCTTCTCCATCTCAATCTAATGTCTATATCCAAGTGTTGGGCACTTTACTCCTTTCCTAAGGCATGTATCAATCGACCATATCCCCCACTACTAGTAATGGGCATGATTTTTGTTCAACATGCGTGACATGATCTCCCTGTCATAAAATTGCATGCCAAAGAAAAAGATTGCCAATGATGAAAAAGCTTTTCCTTTTGTCCTTCACATGATGTTGGATGATGAAAAGCTTAGAAACAATTAAATATTTAGGATGTAAATAATATCTACCAATTAACATCAATTATGTCATGAAACTATTTACATGTTGATTTTTGCCAACAATCAATATACTTTTTATTGTGCCTTTGGACACAAGGGAAGGAAAAGCAAGCGTTAATTATGCAATTGATAATGGTTGTATAGTGACCCCCACAATGGTATGGACAACTTTTTGTTTCCATGTGATTATTTTTTGTCTTATTAGAAAAAAGAAGGGCTACACAAATAATAATAAATATGAAAAAAGAAAAAATACACAATATGATCGTGAAAAAGTAGATTACAATGGAATGTAGGGTTTTAAAAAAAATTGGCGCTTTTACCTTTACGCTTTTGGTGTTGGATTTCATTAGCCTTTTCTTTTATGCATGTTTTGGAGTAGTAGTATAACTTTTTCTTTCTGTGCTTGAGAATATTGGGGGTGTTTTGTGTGGATATAAAAAATGACGAAGAACATATTTATATTTGATCCGAGACAGATTGATAGGAGAAAAAATTTTATTCAATTAAATTAAAATGATGGGTTAAAATATTAATTTGATTAGAAAAGAAAATTCTCCACCTAGCCATCCGTTTCCTTCAAAGGAGACTTATCCTAACTGTACCTCTTAATTACTAAGAGGATCAATTTGCACCGTAGCAGGATATAACTGTGCAAGGGGATAAAACCTTTAGAAAAACGATACATACATCCTGCTCCATTACATATTGATGGTTTTCATTACTTGATCTACCATAAACAAACGGTTCACAAAAAAAGAATTACTGTTTTAGACATAAAATTAACAAAAAATTAACGAATTAAGTAATGAAGGGTTAGTGTGTAATGGAATAGATGTATATTTCATTGTCCAAAACCCTTATTTACACAGTGACACAAACAAAACAATTACAATAACTATGCACAAATATATAGTCTAAAGAAACCTTGAGGCCTCAACTTACAACTTTAAGATTGTAAGGCCTCGGTCTCTAAATTCTTAACTAATGAGACCTCATTAGCAATATAGACAACTTCGAATTTTAGCTAATGAGATAGAAAATACAAATTTTTTATCTTAAAAAAAGAAAAAAGAAAAAAGAAAAAAGAGAGAACATTTTACCAATTGTATGAAACCTTCAAAAAAATAAGTCTTTGTTCAAATTGAGGGAGTTGAGGAGAAAGCGGAGGAGAGTGAAGGAGAAGTCTCTCCTTTCTTTTATTTGGATAAAGTAATTGAAGGAGGGAAATGGAGAGGAAGAAGATAAAAAGGATG